ACGCCACCGCAGGTCAGATGAAACGACCCGAAATGCCCACGAATCGTGGGACCAGGCGAGAGCAAATAGCACGAGCCTCCCCACTATCGCCCCATCAACTGGGCGACCCGCGAAAGAGCTGACGACCCCTACGAGAGCCCGACTGATGCTCAGAGCGATCACTGCATCGACCAGATGCCGACGGCTCCAGAGGAGGTGCCAGCCCCGAATCTGGCACTACTGGCTTGCGACGACCAACGGAATCCAGTGACCTGGCACAACCCTTCTGGGCCTGGGCACAACCCTGGCACACCACCACGGCCCCCCCCGGAGCACCAACAAGTCCCACATAGGCCGGCAATTGACGAAGGCACTTGCAGAAAATGCACCACCGCAGACTCTGCAAACAACAACGGACAAAAAGGGGAAAAAAATCTAAGAGCCAGGGCCCAAGCTGATTCCAATGAGTGGACGAGGACCGCCTGACGGCATGCGAGATGAGAAGCAAAGAACAGGGACACCGCCTCCCTCAGAATTGGCGCAAACAACTTCAACACGGCAGCCGAAGACTGAGGCGCCGAAGCAAACACACTGGACATAGGCCCAGATCCCAGTTCCTCCACATCCTCACCTAGCCAATCTGAAGACAGCTCCAGCAGAGAAAAGAAACGCAAGACTGAAGCCAAATGCCCACGGGCGCTTAAATCCTCGGCCGCTTAAATCCTCGGCCACCACGGATGCTGAAAGGGAGGGAACTTGCAAGTGAAGCTGAATCTGACTGACATTACGAGGAAGTACGGGGGCGAGCAAACACGCATTGAGGTGCTCAAATTTGCCCCCTAGGTAAACCTGAACAACCGTAGACACTTCCCGCCATTCAAGCGCATGGGTCTGACAGAACGCATGCCACACCCCCAAAGAAAAGAAAGGGCAGTCTGCCAGCCAGGAAGATTCCGGCACCTTGTAACGCATCCAGAAGGAAAACGAGGAGCCAAACTCAAAAGAAGAAGGATCCATTGCCAAGGCGTAATCCGGGTTTCGCGAGAGGTAAGCTGCAAGGGTTTCCTGCGCCACCTTTGATGTGATGTGGGAAGCCAAAAACCTCTGGAAGGAGGGAACCGAGGAACCCAAAGGGTCCCAGAATTGAACCCGCGGAGGAGTCGCACCCATATCAAACTCGTACAGGGAGAGGGGGATAGGAAAACCCCTCCCGCCCTGTAACAACAAGCCCCGCATCGAGGGTACCAACACACAAGCGGGGTTAAACGGGACCCAAGCACCCCAAGTCAACTCCTCCCCAGCCCAGGGAACCTCGAGGTCAGGACCTGAGGCCGAGATGTCCTCCAAACCCTCTGCCTCTGGAGAAAAGGCAGAGTCTGCCGGAAAAGCTGGGATAAAGGGGGCCTGCTGGCATGGCCCAAGGGCTCCAGCAGGACAAACAGACTCGAATGCCTCTCCCACTAATCCGGAAGGGGCATTCCCAAAGCAGCCTTAGACTCACCACCAGGAAAACCCTGCCCTGACTCTGAAACCCTCAGATGTTTGGGAGCCGGAAGCAGGGGGAAAGGGAGCAGGATGAACCACAACAGGGAAAGGACTAGGGGTAGCAGATGAAACCAAAGTCGAGGAGACTAACACCCCTAAGTCCAGGTCCCTATAACCAAAGCGGGGCAGCTGCGGGGCATCCGGAAAGGTAACCAACCTTGCCCATTGCAGCAACCTAAACTTTGCATGCAACGCCAACGCTGCTTGCACCCTAATAACAATGTCAGTGGACTGGGTGAATTGGAGTACAAACAAGGAACACCACTTACAGGACTATGGGTCAAAGGTGTCATTGACCCAACAAGCAGCATGGCGGAAACAAAGACAAGGGGACAGAGCAACCTTCAGACTTGCACAAAGCGAGGTGGCACTCTGGGGTCTCTTCCATCGGACCACTGAGCCCCCAAGGGGGTTTCCAGGGCCCTTAGGCTAACTGCTAAGGAAAGCCCAGGCGAGGTACTGCTAACCGGTTATCCCAGAGCTACCAAGCAAACAAACTAAAAGCTGAACTCCTGCAACGTGTACAAGCACAGGAACCTAGTGGAGGGCCACCAAAATTATACAAGTGGTCCTACCGCCACACCTGGCAGATCCCCACCATGCAAAACAAAACAAAATAAAAGAAAAACCCTGCAAAAGCACAACGTCTCCAGGAGAACAGAACCGGTCGCTATGCGTATATATGAGACAGCTGCACAATACCTCGTACCCCTGCCAGTGACGAAACTACCTCCTACTCACGAGAAAAAAGGAGCAAGAAACACCCCAGCAGAACCCCCAAGGGCGGGCAATCACCGAGCAACAACAGAACCACGCGGAGGTAGTTCCTGAATGGTTCAGGGAAGATAACCCTGAAGCAAGGGCAGTACTTATAGGGCACCTAGAGAAGGCGTCCCAAGGTGCATGCAGCCTCAGTACTCTTGTATTACTCCTGGCTCACACGATACCAAAAATGAAACACCACCACTGCACTGCAGCACTGCTCAAAGGATGGAGCCAGAGGTGATCGACCGTTTGCCCTCACAACAGCCTGTGAACTGAGGACAGTTGCCGGCATGGAGCTCTGGGACCCCTCCGTCCCCCTCCCGGGGAGGGGGGGGTTGCGCAGACGGATGCGCGGTGTTTGTGGTGACGTCATACTGGTTTCCTTGGTTTTGATTGGGGAGTTCTGTTGCTAGTTCGGCTTTCGGATTGCAATTAATTAATCAGCAGTAGTTTGTTTTGAAATTCCTGCCTTTCTGGGTGCCTGACCTGGTACATGGCAGACAAAGACTGCTTCCAATTACACGGGGGTGTCTTTAGGCCATTGCTCCTCGTGCCTCTCTTGAGGGGGCCCGGTTCTGGCTCTGGTTCCCGGTAGTCCTAGAACTCCTTCGATTGACCATCGCCACCTACCTTATCTTGAGGTTACCTTGAGGTGCTTCCGAGGCTTAGCATTCCCGCGGCCCGGTCGTCGACCAGGCCTCCTGGTTGCTGGACTGATCAACCAGGCTGTTGGACGTGGTTGCTCGCAGCCTGGCGTATGAGTCACAGCCTGGTTGATCAGGTATCCTTTGGAGGTGCTAATCCAGTTCTCTCTTGAACACTGAGGGGATTGCCAGTTATGCCCCTTATGTGTAGCGGAAGCGTGTTGAACAGTCTCGGGCCTCTGATATTGACAGAGTTCTCTCTCAGAGTACCAGTTGCACCTCTGCTTTTCAACGGGGGTATTCTGCACATCCTGCCATGTCTTCTGGTCACATGTGATGTTATTTCTGTGTGCAGGTTTGGGACCAGCCCCTCTAATATTTTCCACGTGCAAATTATTATGTATCTCTCCCGCCTGCGCTCAAGGGAGTACAGATTTAGGCTCTTTAGTCGGTCCCAATAGTTTAGATGTTTTACTGAGTGGATTCTAGCAGTAAAGGATCTCTGCACGCTCTCCAGGTCAGCAATTTCTCCAGCTTTGAAAGGGGCTGTCATTGTGCAGCAGTACTCCACTCTAGAGAGCACAAGCATTTTGAAAAGTATCATCATCGGTATAGCATCTCTAGTGTGAAAAGTTCTTGTTATCCAACCTGTCATTTTTCTTGCAGTTGTGACGGCTACTTTATTGTGTTCTTTAAAGGTAAGGTCTTCTAACATGAGTACACCCAAATCTAATATATATTAGCCACGGTCTAATATATACACATCAGCCCGATATAGCTCCAGGGAGCCGAAGGGACTCTCCACAGAAAAATATTTGAATTATGTGAAAATTAATATTAAATGTTAAACAAATCTCCAACTTATTGGCTTCAGCGTCGTGAAAGTTTCATCCCAATATTTTCAGAAATGGATTTTAGACTAACTTTTTTAAAAATAAGAACATTTTGTTGATAAGGAGAACAGCTCCTATTAACTGGAACTGAGGGACAATGCAGTAATAAAGAGATGCAAACACCTGTCCGATGCACAAAGAAGAATAGTACTTAGAAGTATCCACAAAGTGGATATGCAGTTGGTGCCTACAAACAAGCAACAATGCTCGCAGGACTCCGGGATGAAGGTGTCACTGACCCAACAAGCAGCATGACGGAGGCAAAAACAATGAGTGTTGCCCTGAGATAATGGGACAGAGTAACTCTCAAACTTGCACAAGACGAGAGGGGACAAAGAAGGTCGCATCAATTGGACCTCATGTGCCCCCTGCGGGGATTCCCAGGGCCCCAAGGCTGGTATCGCTAAGGGTAAGCCCACACGGGGTACTGCTATTCGGTGTCCAAGTCTACTAATAAACTTCTAAAACTGAACCACTGGGACGTGTCCACTCACGGGGGCCAAGCAGGGGGTACCACCGAGCCGGAGGTCAATACCCTAATACAACTGGGGGAAAGGGACACAAGGCAGACCCCCACCAGGCAGAAACAAAAAGAAAAACCCTGCAAGAGGACAACGTCCTCTTGGATCCACTAGAGGGTGGATCGCCTGTGCGGTGGGTCTGAGGCTTCCCCTTTCCCCTTCAGGGGAGAGTGGGAGCTGGGTAGACATGCGGTGCGGCTCTTGTAACGTCATGTTCGTTTGCTCTTTTTCATTTGGGGAGTTTTGTCCACTCGTTTGTCTACTTTTAGTCATTTTAACCAGAACAGGGGGTTTGTTTTGAGGCGCTTACCTTCCTGGTGCCTGGCCCAGTCGATGGCAGACATAGAATGCTCCAAATCATATGTGCATTTCTATAGCCCACTGCTCCTCGTGCCTCTCTGAGGGGGCTCGTGGTCCCCGGTAGGCCTAGAACCCCATACACACTGACTGATGCCAAAGTCTAATGATATACATATCAGCCTAAATAGTTCTGGGAAGCCGAAGGGGCACCCCCCCCCAGAAAAAAATAATATGGTATATATGATTGAAAATAGAAAAAGACATTAAGCTTAAATATACCACTTATACAACTGCAAATAGCATATAATAAAAATAAAATGATAAAAATGCTGAAAAATATGCTTTATAAATACCTTTTGAATGGCTATCTTTGGAAGTCCTTCTGGAAACAGATTCTTAACAATACTGGTGGTAGACACAGTTCCAAATGGAACAAGAATGGGAGGAAGATTGGCATCACGCAAGTGGTCATCTTCAGGCCGTGTTGTTAGGAAACCTGAGCGCCCTTCACACAACCCTTCAACTTCCCCACCTTTTGGAGAAAAACATACAATGTTACCTATAGCAAAGAAAGTCAACCAAGTTATTGTTATTCATGCAAAATTTTACCACCTAATAATTTTGTTTGAAATCTCAACTTATTTTTTCTTATCAATAGTAGCTACTGTACTTTGAACAATCTTTTCTCAACTTTAGATACAATTATATTTTGTCATTTTCATTAACCACCGTGCTGCGTCGAGTTTATTGTGAAATTCCCTGTGCGCATGAAATAAAGTGTTTCCAAAAAATTATTTTTTCTTCGTAAAATGATAAATTCCCTTCCCTGAACATGTCTTTGTAAAAATAAATACCAAATTCCACTTACTTTGGCTGTGGGAACGTGGACATGGTGCACTGTGACGTCATCAGGGCCTGGTCGCCGGTGTGTGACATGCCCAGACACGGTCGCGCAAGACATTCAAGCACCGGGTGTTGCCTCAAATATATTTTCAATGATTTGTTCTACGTATTTCTAATGCGGTTTTATTTGTTTTTTTTTTTTTATCGTATACGATGCATATTTGTGTCCTTTACAATAAGTATACAGTAGAACGTTCATAATGTTCCATGGAACTGTGATACATGTGTCAGTAATGTGTCCACAATAAATGTTTATTGTTGTAATATTACTTGTTAAAAAATCATTAAAGTTACAACATGTACAGTTTCACACACTATTTACACAGTAACACACTTTATTACACACTCATCTAGGGGTGGTTCTAGATAGAAAACTATCACCTGAGGACCACATAAAGAATATTGTGCGAGGAGCCTATGCTATGCTTTCTAACTTCAGAATTGCATTTAAATACATGGATGGCGATATACTAAAGAAATTGTTCATGACTTTTGTTAGGCCAAAGCTAGAATATGCAGCTGTTGTGTGGTGCCCATATCTTAAGAAGCACATCAACAAACTGGAAAAGGTGCAAAGACATGCTACTAAGTGGCTCCCAGAACTGAAGGGTAAGAGCTACGAGGAGAGGTTAGAAGCATTAAACATGCCAAAACTAGAAGACAGAAGAAAAAGAAGTGATATGATCACTACATACAAAATAGTAACAGGAATTGATAAAATCGACAGGGAAGACTTCCTGAGACCTGGAACTTTAAGAACAAGAGGTCATAGATTTAAACTAGCTAAACACAGATGCCGAAGAAATATAAGAAAATTCACTTTCGCAAACAGAGTGGTAGACGGTTGGAACAAGTTAGGTGAGTAGGTTGTGGAGGCCAAGACCGTTAGTAGTTTCAAAGCGTTAAATGACAAAGAGTGCTGGGAAGACCGGACACCACGAGCGTAGCTCTCATCCTGTAACTACACTTAGGTAATTACACTTAGGTAATTACACATGTGTGCATGCACATACACATGTGCACATACACACACACAGTGTACACATGTACATGTGCACACACACATACACGTGAAAAAAAAATTACAAGCCACCGACCAGTGGGCAGAGAGCACCACGCCGGCCAGGCTAAGAAGGCACAAAACTGCATCAAAAGGCCCATCTCGAAAACAAAACCTCAAAGTCCCAGCATGACCACAACACGTGCCAAAACCCAAAAAGATCAGTCTGCAAGATTGGAAGACCCCAGAACTCCAGAAGGCAGAACCGGGTCAAACACGAGGAAACAAAGCCCCCTGAACCCACAAAGGGGGCCCAAAAGGAAGAAACCTCCAGAACGAAACCAAAGAACCCAAAAGGAACCCAGAATCGAACCAGGGGGAGCCCAAACCACCACATTTGCCGGCGGAGATACCCCACAGAAGGGCAAAGCACAGTCCCCAGACAGAACCCCCCAGGGGAACTGAGGGACAAGGTGTGGGAGCAAGCATAACAGCCAGGGACACTGAGCCCAACACAGACAAAATGGAAAACCCGGTGTAAAATCAACACGCAAACGTTCCCAGAGGAACAGGAAATGGGCAGAAAACACCTGAGAAGCAAAGAGACAACAACAGGAGAATAAAACCCCTGAAAACGGGTGAAAACTCACCCCAGACGCTCGCTCGCACAGCCAACCACATGTAAACAAACCGCAATGCCACCCTGGTGGCCACACCGGAAAATTGGCAGAAGAAAATGGCTACCAGAACAGAGGGCTGTGACCGACGCTAAAGATACGAAAACTCGCCAGTAAAAGTGGGAAGCAAGCAGACTGGATGGGCGAAAACTCCCCCCAAAAGCAGAAAACCCAGGCAGGGACAAACCGCCCCAGAACTGCTAGCAGGCATCCCCGACAGCCCCGTGAACCAGCAAGAGAGGCCCCGGGGCAGAGCCGTCCTCCAAGCCCTCCGCCCTTAAAGAAAAGGAAGAGTCCATGGGAAAGGCAGCAAGAAAGGGCCACTGGTAAGACCCAGAAGCCTTGGCAGGAGGAACATCCCCGAAAACCTCCGTCCCCATCCTGAACGGGGCAGCCCCCGAAAACCGCCCGAGTCTCGGGCCCCAACTAAACCCCGCCCCGACCCCGAAACCCGCAGACTGTCTGGAGCCAGGAACAGGGAGGGAAAGGGGCAAACAGCACCTAACCAAAACGGGGCGGCCTCGGGGTATCCGAGTGGGAAACCAACCTAGCATGTTGCAGCAACCTAACCTAGCGTGCAACACAGATGCTGCCTGTACTCTGAACAGTAATAACATCAGGAGAGTACTGGAGAACAAGCAGAGAATCTCTCTCGCAAGACTCTGGGTCAAGGTGTCAGTGACCCAACAGGCAGCATGACGGAGGTAAAAGTGGCAACTGTCATCCGGAGACAAGGGTACAGCAACCAACGATCCCGTACAAGATGGGTTGGAACCCGGAAGACACATTCAATGGTCCACCGAGCCCAGACAGGGGGTTTCCAGGGTTAAGAAACCGGTTAAGAAACCCAAAAACAACAAGAGGATAGCACTGAAAACCCCTGCGACGTGTACAATCACGGGGGCCTAGCAGAGGACCACCAAACACAACCAGTTGAACTATTGCCACACTCGGCAGACCCCCACCAGGCAATGAAAATAAAAACAAAAGAAAACCCGGCAAAAGTACACCATCTCCAGAGGCAACATGAACCGGTTGCCGCTTAGGTGGCAGGTCGTGCAACACCTTGACGCCCTAACCAGCACAAAACCAGTCCCTACCCAGGGCCAAACAAGGGCCCCAAGCCCCAGTTGGCCCTCAAGGGCGAGGCAAATGCCGAGCAGCAAGAACCTCTACGGGAATGGTTTCCGAACGCCCAGGGAAGATAACCCTGTCACGCAGGGGCAGTACTTACAGGGCGCTTAGGGAAGGAAGCCCCTAAGTGCATGCAGCCCCGGTACTGATGAGGTACTCCTGGCCATCGCACCACACAACACTCGGCAGTGAACGCCACACAAGGCAAACACTGCCTAGGAAACTGAGGTCAGAGAAGCGTCTATCCCGGTTGACATTAGCTTACGAACTGATGCTAGGCAGCCGGAGCAGTGAGGTCTGGGGCTCCGTCCCCTCCCTCTCTGGGGGCGGGGGAGAGCTGCGTGGACAATCAGCATGGCAGTAAAGTGTGATGTTTGCTTGTTTGCTTGTTTCCATGGGATTGTAGGGAGTTGCTACCTTTCTGTTCGTTTTTTTGTTTTAGTTTTTTACCATGTGGGGTTTGTTTTGTTATGCCTACCTTTCTGGGTGCCTAACTCCGGTCGATGGCAGATAAGGAAAACCCCAACCACAAGGGGGTTTTCCAGGGCCATTGCTCCCTGAAACCTCTCTGAAGGGGCTAGGTTCTGGCACTGGTCCCTGGTAGGTCTGAACTTAGCTAATGTCCCAGTCTAATATAACATACATTAGCCCGATAAGCTTCAGGGAGCTGTAGGGGCTCCCCACAGAAAAGAGCCTTAGAAAAAGTCCTGTACCAAAGTGGCCACAACAAACTGAGGAGAAGAGAATAGAGAGCACCTGGTCCAAAGACCAAGACGGCTCAGGTGGTGCATGAGGAGGCTAGAGGTAAAAAAAAACACACGAGACAGCTTGCGAAATGGAGCAGAAGTAACATCAATACCAAACTCAAGCTGGAGCGGCTCCGCCAGCGCTGCACGATATGAGATGACAGTATTCGCAGAAGATAATGGTTCTGAAACAACCACAAAAGGAGAAAAAAATAACACTATCAGAGACTGGAGCCGGCCGACTGAGCGGACAGCATGCTGGACACATGATCCTGTGGTCCCGGGATCCTGGGCGCCGGTGAGAAATGATGGGCAGAGTTTCTTTCACCCTGATGCCCCTGTTGCCTAGCAGTAAACAGGTACCTGGGAGTTAGTCAGCTGTCATGGGCTGCTTCCTGGGGGTGGAGGCCTGGTCGAGGACCGGGCCGCGGGGACACTAAAAAGCCCCGAAATCAACTCAAGATAACCTCAAGACAAGACTGAAGAACACTTACGCAGTGCTAGGAAAAACCGTTAGAACCGCCAGGAAACTTCATACTGCCGCTGAGATGAAGCACACAGGTGGGAGATCGGCAACAAAGCCACTTGTGATCCATACAAGTGATGATAGACCCAAACCTAACTCCAGACGCGAAGACTCTAGGAGAAATACGAGCCAGCCTCGTACAGATCTGGACCAATCTGCTAAAAGAGGCAGAGCCACAGGAAGACTCTCGGATTCGGACACTGAGCAAACAGCGCCTGAAAACAAGACTGGATCGGCCACCAAGGAGCCAGAAGGACATCTCTACCCTGTTAAGTCTCCAAGCGAGCGAGGCCCTGGAGCAACAGCGGAACCAGGGAAAAGACGTATAGGTAACCCCACCTCGCCCAGTCTAGCCTGAAGGCGTTTACCCCGATGACCTCACAATCGGGGAAGGGCATCACGTATACCGGGAGATGCCTCGACCACACCGACACGAAGAAATCCACTTCCAGAGGCCTGAACGTCTGGCAGAGCCAACTGAATGAGTTGGCGTCGATTGTCTATTCCGTGGAAAAGGAAATGAACTGGGACAGGTCGTCCACCAGG